TTTAATGGGCCCCAAAAGCTTATTCTAATCATCAAGGCCCCTATATTACCCCCCAAATCGTATTCTAATTATTAAGGCCCCTAAAGTAGGTTGCTGTGCGAAGTGCTGCCGGCAGGTATGCGCGCATGGTGGACGAACCGGATGACCAGTTATTCCCAGGCACTCATTAGGATCCGTGGTGCTGGCGAAGGCGGCAGCAGCAGCAGCAGCAGCAGCAGCAGAAGCAGCAGCAGCAGCGGCAGCGGCGGCAGCGGCGGCAGCAGCGACAGCAGCGCAAAGCAGGGATAGCCGGTTGACAATCTAAGCTTGCCTGTGCAGGCATCTGGGGAGAGTTCTCCAGTCGACTGGGACACAGCTTCAAGGCTGGCGGCATGCACAAACTTGGCCATGGGGTTGATAGTTGCAGTGCGTCGTTAAGTACCCAAAGCAATGACCTACGAACTTCCAGCACGATAGGTTGTCATGTGCGAAAAATTGGTGTTCCTGCAGCATGCACTCAGTTCAAGCGGGAACATCACCGTTCTGAGAATGCTTAGCAGCCAGTGTGATACATGTGCGCAGTTCTCATCAAGTTCGTCGAGATCCAGACAGCATCAGTCATTAAGATTCTGCGCACATGATCTTCCATATGGTACATGTCCGTTCCGATGGTATGTCCATCCAGGTCCAGGCATCCATGCAGTCATCACCCAAACCCTAAACCCTAAACCCTAAACCCCTAAACCCTAAACCTCAGCAGAGGACTCCACGAGTTGGTCGTGAATTCCGGTTCAAAGCCATCAAGCTCTTGGCTCGAAACTGAGAAAGTCGTCTCAAGCCCATTCCCGGCATGCAAGACGGCACGCAGAGCCCCGCCCTAAACCCTAAACCCCTGAACCCTACACCCTAAACCCTACACCCCTAAACTCTAAACCCTAAAACCCTAAACCCCTAAAATCTAAATTCCCTTAAGACCAAACCCAAAGCCCCATGAGCTGGTTCGGGCTCCTCCTTTTGCTGGCCGCCGCTGACGGTACGCACGAAGACGCGCTGCGGCAGGATGATGAGTGCGCGGGTGGAGCAGGCAGGATTGCTTCCCTTAACGGTTCCTTTACAACGGCGGTTTTTGAGGGTTTAGGGTTTCGGGTTCTTT